AAACATTTTGGTTGTACAAAAGAATCTCAAGAAAAATGTAATTTAACAAGTATATTGTTCTGTAGACAAAGTTTATTATATATAATTGTTCTCAGTCAGCCATGTTGACAGGATCTGCATGAATAAAACTTCATTCTCTTCTTTGAAACAGAGTATTTAAGGCTCAGGGAGTAAAGCAGCAAAAATGTTGCTAAAAAAATCTAGAGGTTACCCAACATTCATAAACTTTTTTTTTTTGCTCATATGATCAAACATTTTCACTTAAATAGGAGTATACTGTGTATGTGACCTTATTAAAAGTTACAGTTTAGTGTTCTGTTCGGCTTTACCAAGAATTTTCTCCCTTTCATTTTTACACCCCCAGAGAACTTTAATCAATGTCTTTTTCTTGGTTGTCCACCGGACAACTGTGTAACGTTCACATTGGAGTCTGATGCAGGTCGCATCAAAAATGTAATGTGAAAATTCACACCAAAACATTGGATTGAAAAAAAAATTTGGAATTGAGCATTAAGGCCTGCAGTGTGAACGTAGCCCTAGAGYAGGGGTGCCCAGCCAGTCGATTCCCAGGTGCCCGTGCAGCGCAACCTGGCTGCAGAGCCTCTAACGCCRGCTTTGAGCGTCACATCCCGGAGTGGCTGGTCTTGTTCGAAAGCTCTGGTTTCTGCCCTACAAGGTGAAAGTTGAATGTAGTCCCTGTGACGTTCCCCCGCGGACCAATAAGCGGAACACCTCCAAAATACGCACCGTCAGACCTCCCTCCGGGGTGGTTTTAGCGCCCCCTCCCAGGCTATGAGCGTCGGAACCCGGCGTGGATGGTTGGGTTTTAAAGCTCTGATTCTGCCCTACAAGCTGATACTTGAATGGAGTCTCTGTTGCTTTGTGGAGTTATAAGCAAATTACGCACGACTTAGTGCATTTTTTGGGAGGAAATTTCAACCTTCGTTTACTTCTCCCGCGGGGTCTGAGCATCGGATCCGGGAAAGTGAGATGACTTTGGAAAGCTGCGGTCYTCCTCTACATACTGGAGGTGGTTGCAAGTTCCTGGGACTTTCCCCCGCGGAGCTATTAACCAACGACCGGCCGAAAAAGGTGCTTTGGCGGGCGATATAGTTCTCAATTTACTCCGGAGCCTCTAGCGYYGGCTCTTACCATCGGATCCGGGCGGGATATGGCTCRTTTTAATGTTCTAAGAATGCTGACTGCTAAGAATGTTTATTTTTTGCTATATTTGACAAAATAGCAGTTAGATATGGATAAAAACAATTGGTCTATTAGCAATATTTGAACAATTCAACCAAAAATACTTTGATTCATGAGTTTCTGACAGTTTTAATTTTTTTGTCATTTGTGTTTATTGTGAAATTGGTCTTGAATTTGATTTGACTTGGTATTAAAAAGTCTTAAAATGTCTTAAATTTAACTTGCCTTAAACTGTAGGAACCCTGAGGCGGCCGTGTTTTTAAATGTTTATCGTTTTGTCAGGCAGAGAGTAAGACAACTACAGTATCTGCTGCYGTTTACACAAACTGTTGACAGATCCTGTAAAAACTTTGTTTAAATGTCCAAACTTTACAAACCAGTGTTTTTGTCTGAAGAGGAATTGTAGCGTTGATATTTACCCACAATTCCTCTCTGTCTCTGCAGGTTTTTGTGATTCTTCCTGTGAGTGGTTTTCCCTGCAGCCCCCTCACCCCTCAGCGTTCGGTCTGGACCCATGGTGTCCCTCAGCAGCAGAACCCTGGACACGGAGCTGTTCCGGGACAGCGGCCTGTTCTCGGTCTGCCTGGAGGTCGGCTCTAGCAGCAAAGGTGGCAGCTTGGCCTCCTGCAGCAGCCCGGGGCTGGAGGAGCAGGGGGCATGCAGCCTCAGCCCCGGAGAGGCCGAAGAAGAGGAAGATGAAGACGATGGCGGGGATCTGCAGATTCTTCTCAGCGAGGACCCAGAAATGGGACCTGCCTTTCTGGAGCCCAAGCTGCCAGAATTTGATTTTTCTCCCTCTTCTCCGTTTTCCCCCACCCTGGAGGACATTGAGGAGTTCTTAAAAGAGAAGATGGAGGTGGTGAAGGAGGTGAAGGAGGAGCTGGAGGCGTCCTTTCTTCCGTGCAGCGTCATGGACTCTCCATCRGCCTGCCCACCTCCAGATGTTCCCTCAGAGTCTCACAGTGACCTGGGCACCAGCAGCAGCTTTTGTTCTTCCAGCCCAGAAACCCCTGAAACAGAAAAACTCAGTCCCATAGGAGCAGAGGCTCCGCCCTCTGCCCAGACTAACCCTTCACCTCCTGCTTTGACGCCACCAGTTCTCCTCGGAGCTCCGGTGGTCCTGCTGCAGCCGTTACCTCAGGCTCCAGCAGGCTCTCCCTCTGGGGCCCAGAGTGGCATTTGGCTCACTCAACTTTTCATGGGACTCCACGGTGCTACAGCCCCAAAATTTACCCTGCTGGCCCCCCAGGTGTCCTCTGCGCCCACCACCACCACTCTGGTGTCGCTCAGCAATGGCGACATCAAATTATCTGATCAGAAGTACGTGAAGATTGCCCCGCTGCCCATCACCACCAGAACTCTGGAGATCATGCCCGTGACAGGAAACGGGGGCCAGGGCAGCACGCTCATAAAAGCTGCGGCCCCCCGAGTCACCAGAGTACCACCGACGGAACGAGTCCACAAGTGTTCCCACCCCGGCTGCGGCAAGATGTACACCAAAAGCAGCCACCTGAAAGCGCACTTCCGCCGCCACACAGGAGAAAAACCATACACCTGCAGCTGGCCCGAGTGTGGCTGGAGGTACGAACAGACCAGGGTCCTACAGCTAGACCAGAGTCCTGCAGGTAGACCAGGGTCCTACAGGTAGACCAGGGTCCTACAGGTAGACCAGAGTCCTACAGGTAGACCAGGGTCCCGCAGGTAGACCAGAGTCCTACAGGTAGACCAGAGTCCTGCAGGTAGACCAGGGTCCCGCAGGTAGACCAGAGTCCTGCAGGTAGACCAGGGTCCTACAGGTAGACCAGAGTCCTGCAGGTAGACCAGGGTCCCGCAGGTAGACCAGGGTCCCGCAGGTAGACCAGGGTCCTACAGGTAGACCAGAGTCCTGCAGGTAGACCAGGGTCCCGCAGGTAGACCAGAGTCCTGCAGGTAGACCAGGGTCCCGCAGGTAGACCAGGGTCCTACAGGTAGACCAGAGTCCTGCAGGTAGACCAGAGTCCTGCAGGTAGACCAGGGTCCTACAGCTAGACCAGGGTCCTACAGCTAGACCAGAGTCCCGCAGGTAGACCAGGGTCCCGCAGGTAGACCAGAGTCCTGCTGGTAGACCAGCGTCCCACAGGTAGACCAGAGTCCTGCTGGTAGACCAGAGTCCCACAGGTAGACCAGAGTCCCGCAGGTAGACCAGGGTCCAGCAGGTAGACCAGGGTCCCGCAGGTAGACCAGAGTCCCACAGGTAGACCAGAGTCCCACAGGTAGACCAGGGTCCCACAGGTAGACCAGAGTCCTGCAGGTAGACCAGAGTCCTGCAGGTAGACCAGAGTCCTGCAGGTAGACCAGAGTCCTGCAGGTAGACCAGAGTCCTACAGGTAGACCAGAGTCCTACAGGTAGACCTGAGTCCTACAGGTAGACCAGAGTCCTACAGGTAGACCTGATCAGGCACAGACCAGGTTCTGACTTTGACATGAAGGCAGTGTAAACATGAATGATTTAGTTTATTAGTGAAGTTATCAGCTGTTATTACTGATGGTGCAGTATATTAGTAGAGTGCAGAGTCCTCTAAATAAACTCTGTTGATTCGGTTTTTGATCTCTCCTGTCCTCAGGTTCTCCCGGTCTGATGAGCTGTCACGCCACCGGCGCTCTCACTCAGGCATCAAGCCGTACCAGTGCACGCTGTGCGACAAAAAGTTTGCCCGCAGCGACCATCTGTCCAAACACACGAAGGTCCATCGCAGCTCCAGGCCCAGCAGGATCCTCAGAGCCACCGTGTGACCCTGAACACAGGAGGGTGCCGGTGATCCTCAGGACTTTAGGGTGCTCAGATTCAGGAGAGGTGGCTGGTTTCCCCCCGTCATTTCCTTCCTGTCTCTTCCTCCCCTGCTGTTCTCCTTCGAGTGACCCATCTGAGGAACTCGCCTTATATTGAGCAATCAGCCACCTCAGGAAAAAACTAAGTTGAAAGTCGACTTCCTGGCACAGAACAGGAGCCGGTCTCACTGAGACCCCCTCTTCCAGCCATTGCTTGCACTTCTGCTCCTGCAGCTGCCAGCTGCTGAGGGACGGGGGACAGTAACCGACACTGGGAACATCTGCGGTTGTATTGTTTCTTATCTACGCCTGCCAATCCCTCTTCCTCAAAGCCAAATGTCAGGTTCACACGCACAAGAAGCGTTCAGAAGTTGTTCTCCGACGTGTCCCATTCGTGTCATGAGTTCTGATCACAAGGCTCGGGCTGACAGGGTCCACGTGATGCTGAGACGGCTGTCTCTCTCTCTCTCTTGGAGAAAATTATGAATAGTGAAGAAACAGATGACATTTTAAGAGTTGCCCGTGCATTTTAGAGACAATCTAGTCTAATGAAGCTAAATCTGAGCAGCATTTCCAAGCTGATGTTTTATACATCCAATGCTGGCCTTTCAGTCTTTCATCCACTCATCATCCATTCTGTTGAACCTGTATGCCTTTTCTCAGTCCTTTAATCTCTTTATTGCTGCCTTTGTCATCATCACTAACTTCCTTTAATCCAATGTAAGGGTTATCATGTGACTGTTTTTATCTATCTGTGATTCATGAAGGGGGGAGCAAACCAGAAGACCAGGTTCTGGCCCCATGAGAGTTAAAATAACACCCTCAGTGCATGACAGTTTATAAGCTTTTTATTCTTTAGGAAATAATGTGTAGCCAACTTCTGTGGCCTACGACTTCTCTGTGTGGACACTTGGGCCCAACGGTGCTAAAGTGAAGTGATACACTGCTCTTACTTTATTACAGCAGTACTTACTGTTTATTATAGCAGTAATTACTGTTTTATAACAGCCGTACTTACTGTTTATTACAGCAGTACTTACTGCTTTATTCAGCAGTACTTACTGTTTATTACAGCAGTACTTACTACTTTATTACAACAGTACTTACTGTTTATTACAGCAGTACTTACTACTTTATTACAACAGTACTTACTGTTTATTGCAGCAGTACTTACTACTTTATTACAACAGTTCTTACTGTTTATTACAGCAGTCCTTACTACTTTATTACAACAGTACTTACTGTTTATTGCAGCAGTACTTACTGCTTTATTACAACAGTTCTTACTACTTTATTACAACAGTACTTACTGCTCTATTACTGAAGTACCTACTATAAACATTATTCTGCTGGTTTTATAACAGAATTTTAGGACCTCGGAAAGAAAGAAAGAATCAGGAGGAAATTTCAAGATAAAAATCGAAACTAGATCAGCAGAATATTGACAAAGAATGTTAACATTTAAATGACAGAACATACAGGAGATCCTTGAAATTTGAGGGGGCTATGTTCTCAGATCTCAAGTTTTAGAGAGCCATAAAATTTAGATGTCAAAAAAATAATAATCTGAATTGTTTCTTAGTACTAGTGGTGTCCCAATACCGGGTACGTGTACTCGAACAGACTGCCCAGATACTCCAGACTGATACCAGTACCAGTAACTGATATTGTTACTTCATTCAGAGTTTTACAGTTTACTTTTCAAATAACAATATTTTCAGTTCCAAGTTGAATGAATTTCTACAAGTTGAAATAAAATCTTATTTGTTATTTTTATTTATTTTAAAATGTTACAACAGTATATATCATGTTGTATATTTGATTTGATCCAGTCAGCGAGGCTGTAGGCCTGTAAGGAAGAAGAGACACTTTGTTCTAAATAAAGAAATGTGTTTTTAAAGTCTAACTCATTAGGTAATCGGTATCAGTGAGCACCCAAACTGAAAACTTTGTATTTGTACTTGGTTTGATTAAAAACTGGTATCGGGACATCCCTACTAAGTACATTTACACATCTAAGGATTTTCTTTGGGGTCCTGGTGCTACACCAACATGTTTAACATCTGTTAGCTCTTAATCACAATTTCACTTTGTGTTACGAATAATTTCAAAAGTAACTTTTTTTAACATTGCAACTTTTTTGTGAAAAAGTGTAAATATTTCTGTCCTTTTTGGCAATAATATTTCAACATTTCAACTTGAAAAACTCAATCTTCCTCCTCATTATTTCTGAGTTTGGTCCTAATCCTCTGCTGTAGTTATAGCAGCGAGAAAAGCTAGTAGTTTAAATTAGCTGAACGGCAGCTAACATCTATTCAGTTGTGTATTAAAATACTCAGTATAATGTATACTAAGTACAAAGGACAAATATAACATGTACAGCTTGTTGCCTTTATATAGATAGTTTTGTTTTTTAACCAGTGCATTAAGCTATTGAGTCATGTTCCTGGAAGCTGTGGGTCTGGACTGTAGTCTGAGATCTGGATCCTCTGCCTGTCCACCAAACATTAAGCTGAGTCTGCTGGTCTCAAGTGCACTTGTGTTTGAGAAAAGAAACTGTTCCACAAAATGTATCAGCACCATCAAATGCAAAAGTGAAATAAAGTCAGTGCTGTGTGGTTCCTGGAAGGTTGAACTGTAGATCTCAGAGCTTTGGTTCTTTCTGACCCGTCTGTATCTGAGTCCGACCAGCACCAAGTGGTTTTATTTTCAGCAGTTTAGCTTCTCTGGTGTTTCTGTGCAGCAGGATCCTGCTGAAGGCAGACAGACGGGCCGACGTGTTGATCCGTCTGAACTGGAGCTGTCTTTGTGTCTGAGCCTCCMCAGGCTGCTTCTACTGACCTACATCATCATCATACGCCTCTCTCTCTCACTCTTCCTTTTCTTTTAGAGCAAATAGGAAAATCTGTGTGTGAGATAAAGATTTGCACACACACATTCACATATTTTTTTTTTAAATTTTGTTTTGTCTTTTGAATACCAGAAATGCTATTTTCCTATCTGCAACAAAATAAAAATGCGTCTTTTTGCTCTGTTGTTACTCAGGAACTTTTATTTCTTGAATGTGAACGATGCTCTTCCCGTTGGACTGACAGTAAAATCTGACCAGAGGAGGTGGGACCAGTGGCGCCACCAAGAGGTGCTCGGGTCTGAGGGCAATGGCTATAGCCCCCAACCCTCTGTCCATGTTCATCCTGAGTACTGAGCCTTTTCTTAGTGGTCATTTTGAATTTCTCTGTTCTGTCTCAGATTACCTCATGAACATAACTAACACTGTTTTTAAGCAATTAGAAATTAAAACTATAAAATTTGTATATTAACATCTTGTCCACCTAAATACAAGCAAGTGGTCTAAAACCAGTGTAGTGACAGAGCTTTTGTCAATAAGTAATGGAAACTTTAATAATCTAAAGTGGACCTACAGTGATTCTCTAATTCTGTTGTGCTTTGCACTCCAGGATTTACAGAAGCCACACCCTCAACACTAAAACATTTCTGGAGGTACCGCTGGTCGGGACACGAACAGAACCTGCTGATAGAACATCGAGTTAAGCTCACCTCTTTTAGATGACTTTTTGTCCATGTGTCTAAAAATGCAAAGAAAATTAAAAGAAAAACTTTGGATGAGCTTTAAGACCCTCCCACACTATATAGACAACATATGCCACTTTATGAAATGTTTTTTATGTCTAAATTGCTAAAAGTTCTATATTTGATCAATTTGTTCGAATTACATTATGTACTCACCGAAAATAAGCTTCCTGTTGATTTTTTTCAATTCCATCTTCATTGTAAATGTATTTAAAATAATAAGTTGTCTAGTGTGACAGGGCCATAGGCAGCCAGCAGGGTTGTATTTTTAGCTATTAAGTGGTTCATTTTGGACACATAACTGTGGCATCAGTTTCACTTTATATGGTTTTAACAGAATTAGGTTTTTACTTGTAAAAGTACACGTTTGTTGTTAGTGCAGCCTGGGGGACTTCCAGGAGGAGTATGATGGCGTTTTTGCTTTGTAAGGCCTGATTCAGCCCTGGATGTGTACAAATGTTCATGTGATGTCATTCTGTCTGCAACACAACAGTAGCTCATTGGGTCATAATAACAAATTGAAACATTCAGAACACGTTTGAACCCAAGCCGGGCCAGGCTTGGCCTTTCAGTGCAGAAATACCATTAGAATATTTCAGCCAGAATAACATGAAGACGGCTTTATAAAACAGTCTGTATCAACTGCTGTGGCATTTTTTTATAACCCCGGTTCTAATGAAGTTGGGACATTGTGTAAACATAAATAAAAACAGAATATGTTGATTTATGTTGATTTTTTAATCTATATTCAATTGAATACACTACAGAGACAAGATATTTAATGTTCAAACAGATAAACTTTATTTACTTTTTCACTTTGAGTCAGTCCAGCTCAGATGAGCTCGGGTCCAGATAAGCCGACTGTTTCTGGTTGTTGATATCTGGCTTTGTGCATGATAGAGCTTTAACTTGTAGATKTAGAGATGAACTGTGTTCACTGACAATGTTTTTCTGAAGTCTTCCTGAGTCCATGTGCTAATATCTGAGGGGTCAAAGGTCATGGGCATTCAGTGTTGGTTTTCAGGCTTGCTACTTGCAGAGATTTGTCCTTTCAAACAGCCTACAGCTGTAAGCTACCTGTTGAAGTGAGCTTGTAGTGGAGAGGTCTGTTTAATGGACATCTACAACTGATTAATCACAGTCAGCTGAGCTACATGGAATGATCTTACACCACATCAACAGTTTTAGTAAAAATTTTAACAGATTTCTTCAGCTGATGATGTCAAACTCCCAAGTTTTTAACTGTAAAACCTTTGCAAACAACCTTGTTTTCCTGGAACATATTCTATATCAAAATGTTTTAGCTCTCATTCTCCTGGTGTGTCTGACTGCTGCAGGACTTTCAGTTTTCCTTCAGATCCCCTCAGAGAGAGTCACGCCCAGACTTCCTTCAACTCAGTTTAGGGTTGTTTTACCTGATCATACCTTCTGAATAAAACGTTATAAAAGAAAAGTTCAGCTGGAAATCTGAACCAGCTGACATCAGTTTAACAAACACTCTGAATCTTCTAGATCTTGTTCATTTTGCTCTCTTTTTCTTCCAGACACCTGCTCAAACCAGAGGTGTTCTCCTCCAATTGACAGTAATTTGAGTTTCCTGCAGGATCCAGCTCAGAGGCAGCAGACCACATGACACAAGGCTGGAGCTGGTTTTTATTCCTCTAATCACTGCCACATGATGTTTGAGCTGCAGAGTGCTGCAGCTCCATGTTTCTACCTGTGCTTGTGCTCAGGAGCAGCTCCGCTCCTCTCCTCTCTGTGTTTGGATCAGAGGCTGAACATGTGGGTCGAAGCAGAAGAGGAGAGGGAGTTTCCTTTCAGGAAAGAAATGAGGCCACAGGCGGGAGCGTGACAAGAGTGCTCACCAACAGTCATGCTCAGAGGTTACTGTAGGACAAATCACTGTTCTGCCTTTTAAAGGAACAGACTGCTGCAGACTGACAGGAACGTCTGCGCAGACAGCAAACTGTCCTCATCTGCTTTGTGCTCGTCTTTAAACCTGCAGCATCTGAAGACGTGTTTCACAGAATACAACCCCTGTTTGAAAGAGTCAGAAATAAAAACTAAATTTAATGTGTTATAAATYCCATAATCCCAGACTGTCTTCACTGAGAAACAGTTAAAAGACGAAATGTTGAAACTAAGAAACCATCTTTAAACAAATAAGAGTAGATTTGACTTCATGGCAGCAACACATCATCCGGATCCGTTTTGGTGGCCTTAGGTTCACATCTCTGCTTTTTGCAGATGATGTGGTCTTATTAGTCGGGAAAGCAGTCCTTCCTCAAGTGGAGGAGTTTACGTATCTCGGGGTCTTGTTCACAAATGAGGGAAAAATTTTCTAAAAACAATAAATTTTGTGTGTGATGTCACTGAAAATCATCTCCTTTGTGGTAAATTAGGAATTAAATGAATTTTACCAACCAACACTTTTGTTTACATTTTGGAAAGCTTAACATTTCACTAAAAGTTATTTGCAAATGTTTGTGTTAAACCATAAATAAACCAAAGACAGGTTTTAGGATTCTTTATAAAAACTAGAGAAATTTAATTTTCTGCTAAAACATCATGTGACACTGAGCGCTGAATGTTGATTATTAAAAAGCTGAAATTGAGTTCTTAAAGTTAAAGGGAACCAAACACAAACTAAATGCTAGCCAAAATCTAAAAGAAGACAACTTAAAAGCAGCAAAGGATTAGTTTAAAGCTAAGTACCAAAATGTAAGCTAAAAGCAGCCGAATGGTAGCTAAAAACAAAAAGTAACAAAAAAAAAGAAATATGATGAGCAATATGTTTATGGAGGAATGGAGATCTCAATATATCCCTGCTCTGTGCAGGGGTTTATGGCTGCAAGACCCGGGGCACCTGTTCTCCTGTTTGGTTATGTTCTCTCTTCTTGTGAATGAGTGTTCTGAACTGTAAATTCATTGTGCTTTGTACAATGACAATAAAAGATTTTTCAATTCGATATTCTAAGAAGAAAATATATTTTAAAAGCTCTGGTCTTAATTTATTCAAGAAAACGATCAAAGTGAATAAACAGATAAAGCAACAACAAAGAATCAGAGAAATGTTCAAAAATAAGTAAAAAAAAAAGGCAGAAATACAACATAGAAACATCAGCTCTAAAGCATCTCAAAATGCTAGAATCAAAAGCCAAAGAATAAAGACTTGACAGCCTTAGTGGTCTGAATACAAAATAAAACTGTTCCACAGGTTTGAGGCAGAAAACTGCAAAACATTCAGTCAATTCTGATCTCTTGGATAGTCTGAACATTTGGAAATATGAATAATTAAAATAACACAATGTATGCTGAACTAGTACTTTTACAACAACAACAGCAATAATAATAATAAAATAAATAAAAAATGGCAGAGAAAACTTGTTCACACTGACATTGGTTTGCAAGCTGACAGTGTGTGCTGCTGCCCCTCTGTGGTTTCTGCAGACATGAATCTCTGACAGGCTGCTCTCACAAAACTCTCCAGAAAAATCAGCCTGAATTTCAGATGTTTAGTAAAACATATCACCTGCCTCCATTTGTGCCAAAGCTGAGATTTTTATTTATTTTATTTGATTTATCTCGAACATAATATCTGTCTGTATAAAAATAGAGGGAAAAAAACCTTGTTCGAGAAGAGGCAGGATGAATAAACTTGCTTATCAAGTCCTGTCCCTTCTTTCAATTTACTCATACATGATCCCATCCAAAGTACAGCTGAGAATACCAAAAGTAAAAGTACTTATAACCAAAGTCTTATCATACAACAAATATCTTCAGAATTATATGCACACATGCAAATAATAGTTTCACATTATACTGCCTGTAATATATCTAATAATGCAATAATAATATTGGTGAGTCATTCTAACTTTACTTATCTATCAATAATTGTTTATACCTGCATTTCTATTTTTAATTATTGAACATTTTCAATCCATAATCTAAATTATTGCAGTGAAAATTGTAATCACTTACAGATATGCACTATGGCACATGATTGTTTTCAATTTAATTTAACTCTTAAGTCATGACCCCCTTCCCTGATTATAAACATCTTTTGTATATTGGCATTAATTTGTTAGCAACATTAAACATTAGTTCAGTTGTTTTGTATTTTATTA